CAGCCTCACAAGCACGGCTGGCGGGGACGAGAGACAGGGCCTTCTCAGTGGTGGCCCCTCGGCTGTGGAATGTCCTTCCCGCAGATATTAGATCAGAAGAGTGAAGACCTGGCTCTTTGAACAGGCGTTTAATTAAGCAGTGCAATTAATTGATTGATCTTGGAACTTGGAATAATGGACGAGGAGATCGGATTATGACTTTACTGGTGAGACGTGATGGATTAGTTATATGGATGTATTGATGTTATATTGATGTACTGATGTATTGTTATATTGATGTAGTTGCCTTAGTTACTGTTTTAATTGCTAATGTTGTGCACTTTGTATATTGGTTTGGTTGTAAACTGCACTGAGTCGCCTACGGGCTGAGAGAGTGCGGTATACAAATAAAGTAAATAAATAAATAAATAAATAAATAAGTTAGGGGTCCATGAATATAGGTCCCCATCTGTATTGGCTGAGCCTTGGATTGCCCTCCGCCTGGTCCATTTTCAGAGGTTCAGCAGCCAGATCAATGAATATCCCTGAATCTGATATTGCCAAAAGGAATCATGCACACCCCTAACAGATAGTGGTATTGCTTCATATTTAGCCATCCACCGGTGGGCAGCCGCATGCCTCTTGACCCCCAGCCCAGTGTCTGAAAGCTGGTTATAAGGGCACAGAAGTGTGCAGGCAGAATCTTAGTCTCCTTCTACTTGATATAGAATCTTGCCCATTTTCCAGTTACAGTCTTATGTCAGCTATCACCTTCCAGAGCAGTACTACAGAATAGAAATCACAGGCTAAATTATATTATGGTTCTGGCCCAACTTATCTGTCTGAACGCATTTTCCCTTATGAACCTGCTAGGACTTTAAGATCATCTGGGGAGGCCCTGCTCTGAATCCCGCTTGCGTCACAAACACATTTGGAGGGGGCGAGAGGCAGGGCCTTCTCAGTGGTGGCCCTTGGCTATGGAACAAGACTTGGTTGTTTGAACAAACATTTGAAAATGCAAGGAAAAAGACATAGGAATTGGAACGACTGGATGACGAGGTGGGACAATGTTTTTATTAGGAGATGCATATTATGTATGCTTCTAGTATTCTTCTTATGATTTATATTATGTGTTAATGTTTTTAAATGTTTTATGGCAGGCATGTAGCCGGGGGGGGGGGG